CATATATCTAACACATATTGACTAGAGGGCTTTTCAGATATTTGAAGCCAACTCTCATGCCTTTTCTTACTTTCAATTTTTTATGTGACCTTGCCCCTATAAATTATTTCCCAGAATGTATTTATATCTTTTATAAAGAAGGCTACTGCAATGTTAAGAGAGGAAACTACTTTCATAGAATTTCAGAGTTAGAGGGAAAACAAGATGATCTTATTCAGATCTCAACTTTCATAGATGAGTAAACTGGGGCCTGAGCTGGTTAAATCATTGAGCCAGTTAATGGCAGACCAAGATTCATAATCTTGGTTTCCAGACTACTTGTTCAGTGCTTATTCCAACATTTTCCTTCTTTGATAGTTTTTCCTACTTTAGGTTGCTCTTTCTTCTGCCTTTCAGTGGTATCTGGCATCCTTCATAGGAGAAAAAAGCTCAGAGTAACGAAGGAACTGCACTAGACCTTAAAAGCCATGGATTCTTAAATTTTTTGGTCACTGATCAACTTCCGAGGCCTTGGATACATCATTTCAGAAAATAATAACTATTGTTATTCACCAATAATATTTTACATGGTCTATTGAGTACCTGCTGTTTCTGAGGCGCTGTGCAAGGCACTTTACCTATATGCCTCTTTATATAAGCATTCAAAATGTGTCTCCTTTCTTATCTGTAGAATAAGCAGGCTGTCCGTTGTCCTATCCAGCTCCGGAATTGGGTGATTGTAAAGAGATATCTTTATGAGTATAGTTTTACAGTGCCTGAGGCTTCATCTTTATCTTTCTCTTTGTTTCTTGAGCTGGCAGGAAATGGTAAGGAAAATTAGAATAATTTCTCTAGATTCGTCGCTGTAGCGAATCCTTTGTATGTGTCCACCTCCTCTTTATCCTTCCAAGGGACTTTCCATTTTCCCATAGGACTTGACTTCACTGGTCCTGTTCAGGGTTTCCAGGATCATATTCTCAGCCCACTTCAAACTTTAGATTTACCTATGGGCCTTTGATTCACTCTCATGGCTTCACATTTCACCTGTGAGCTCAGAGAAGTTAATAATTTGGAGAAGTTCACTCAGCTTTAAGCAGCAAACCTGACAGTCTGTCTGATCCCACTGTGTTTGTTATTTCTGCTACATGATTCCCATCTCTGAAAGTTCACTTGATCTTACTTTCCCACCCTTGCTTAAGACCTAGCTCAAGCCCTAACCTGTCATTATCACACCAGGCCAAGTGCTCCTCCCTCCCAATTTACCCAGAGAGTGATGTTTGCACTGCACATCAGGCACCACCATGGAACTCATCCCTTGGCAGACTCTATGGTCTAGTGGTTATGAATGTGGGGGACTGGAGACAGCGCCAAAGTATGAATCCTGGCTCTACCACTTATTGGCTGTGCAACCACAGAAAAGTTACTTAGCCTCTCTGGGCCTCCGTTTCTTCAGCTATAAACTGGGACTGCCAGTAGCACTTACTTTATAGGGTTGTTCTGAGGATAAATGTGATAATCCATGTAAAGGCAAATAGCATCGTGCCTGACACATGAAAGAAACAATAAATTGACTCCTTCACCAGATTTTGGGGTAATCCCTGATTGGCCCAAGATGATTAACATAATCTCATTCATTTTGCAGAGTGATTGAGTCAGTATTGGGTACATGAACTTGACTGGTTCAGAGTGGCTTGCAGGACTGCAGATGATGTGGTCTCAGGCACGAGGCTTGGAATTGCAAGAGCTTTTTCTTTTTTCCTTTCCTTTCTTTCTTTCTTTTTTTTTTTTTTTAACTAGAGGAAAGTCGGCATGGGGACAAAGCTGACACATGCAGTAAGAAAGAACTGAGAAAAGCAAAGGGACTAGAACCAGAGGCTTGATCAGGTGTCTCCTGAAATCCCATTGACCTCTGGAATTTTCATTGGTTGAGCTAATTAAAAATTTAGTGAGCCAAGCGCAGTGGTATATGCCTATAGTTGCCTGTAGTCCCAGCCACTCAAGAGGCTGAGGTAGGAGGATCACTGGAGCTCAGGAGTTTGAGTCCAGCCTGGGCAATAGCCTGTCTCTTAAAAAATAAATAAAAATGCATACTTTTAAGTCCGGTGGGGTGGTGTGCACCTGTAGTCCCAGCTACGCAGGAGGCTGAGGCAGGAGGATGGCTTAAGGCCAGGAATTTGAAGGGATAGTGTACTATGATCACGAACAGCTCCTGCACCCCAGCCTAGGCAACATATGAAATCTCGTTTCAAAAGATAAATTGGTATTTAAGCTGATTTGTTAGTTTCTTAAATCATCTGCAACTGAAAATACCCTCAATATCCTCATTGATATTGTACATTATTATTATTGTCATCTTCTCATGTATGTCAGACCTTCGTCATTAGATCATAATGTCCTTTGGAACAAAAATGAACCTCCTAAGTAGTGTGCCGCCGTCCCACTTAGTACAGATCTGGCACGTAGCAGGTTCTTGTCCATTCACACTTCATGTCAGGTATTCCTTTCCCTTTCGTATCTACGGACTTGGAACTTTTTTTTTTTTTTTTTTTTTTTTGAGATAGAGTTTCACTCTGTCACCTAGGCTGGAGTGCAGTGGTACAATCTCGGCTCACTGCAACCTTCACCTCCCAAACCATTCTCCTGCCTCAGCCTTCCAAGCAGCTGGGACTACAGGCATGCACTACTATGCCCGGCTAATTTTTGTATTTTTAGTGGAGACGGAGTTTCACTATGTTGGCCAGGCTGATCTCAAACTGCTGACCTCAGGTGATCTGACCGCCTCGGGATCCCAAAGTGCTGGGATTATAGCCGTGAGCCACCGTGCCTGGCCCAAACTTTTAGCATTATTATTATTATTATTATTATTATTATTATTTTTGAGACGAAGACTTGCCCTGTCACCAGGCTGGAGAGTAGTGGTGTGATCTCGACTCACTGCAACCTTTGCCTCCCAGGTTCAAGCCATTCTTCTGCCTCAGCCTCCCAAGAAGCTAGGACTATAGGCATGCACCACCACTCCTGGCTAATTATTTTATTTATAGTAAAGATGGGGTTTCACCATGTTGACCAGGCTGGTCTTGAACTCCTGACCTTGTGATCCACCTGCTTCAGCCTCCCAAAGTGCTGGGATTACAGCCGTGAGCCACTGTGCCCGGCCCAGACTTTGAGCATCTTTTTTTTTTTTCTTTTGAGACGGAGTTTTGCTCTTGTTACCCAGGCTGGAGTACAATGGCGCGTTCTTGGCTCACTGCAACCTCCATCTCCTGGGTTCAGGCAATTCTCCTGCCTCAGCCTCTTGAGTAGCTGGGATTACAGGCACGCGCCACCATGCCCAGCTAATGTTTTGTATTTTTAGTAGAGGTGGGGTTTCACCATGTTGACCAGGATGGTCTCGATCTCCTGACCTCGTGATCCACCCACTTCGGCCTCCCAAAGTGCTGGGATTACAGACGTGAGTCACTGCGCCCGGCCTGAGCATCTTAAGGCAGAAACAGGAGGTGGCCAGGGTCCCAGATAGGGTGATGGCCTGCTGCTGCTTTATCTTCTTACTGTCTATAATGAGAAGAAAGTAAAATACTTAACAGATTAGCTCACCCTTATTGAACACCAGGCATTGTACACACAGGATCATCTTTTTTCCTATCAGTTACCTATGGGTATATTATTAATGCCCTGTATCACAGACTGCACATTTATGCTCAATAGTGATATTACTCATGTAGATTACACGGCTTCTACATAGCATAATTTAGGATCCTGCACTGAAATTACTGTATCCATAACTTTTTCTCATTCTACTTTAAAGAAAATGTAATTAGAAGTCTTAGATAATGCATTCTGTGTATGGCTTACACATGAAAGACTGTGTACAGCTCTAATCAGCAGACCCATACTAAAAAACTTTGAACTGCTGTCAAGAAATAAATGTACATCAACTTTAAATAAAATGTTTATGGTATGTTTGATTCATTTTTTATGACTTCCCACTTTCCCAGCATTTTCAGATAACTCACCATTTTCCCAGTCACATCAGAGAGATCTTTACGGCTTTCTTTCTGGAACATAACAGTCTAAAAATCTAAATAGGATCATGCCAAACCTATTGTTCTGTGATTTGACTTTTTTCAGCCAATAATAATCTCTTGGAATCTTTCCACGTCCGTACATATAGATTTCCTTCATTCAATGTAAGCGCAGAACGCTTTTCAATAGCAAGGATATGCCATAATTTTACGACCTCCCACAATTAATGAGCATTTGGGGCCCGCCTCACCAGCTGTTTGCTTTTATACATCATGTGCCATCAGCTCTGCTGCATTTGCTCCTTTATACATTCAAGTGCCAGTGGAAGGAAAAAGATCCTTAAGTCTTGATTCTATCAATTAAGTGGTCCAAGAAAGAGAATGAGCATCTCGAGGTCTCCATCTTCAACAGCCTTGCAGTCTGGAGGGAACAGACACACACATCACTTTTACTTAGGGATATGGGGGTCAGCTAAAGGTTAAGGGAGTGCAAGAAGAGGGAGACCGAGGGGTTCTGCTGAGGGGATGCCTGAGAAGGCTGCCTGGAGGAGGTGTGCTTGAGTCCCGGGTTCAAGGGTCAAAGGGCTCTGACGCTTGGTCTGCTAATCTTTCTTATCGTATCGTTGCTTGGCAGTGTGCCTGTTAGTTGAGTGGACTCTTTCTTGGACCATTTGCTTGGATGAACAGGGGCAGAGGTGGAAAGGAAGGGTGCTCGGGACAGAAGTGACAAAGCCTAGGAACAAAAGTGGGAAGGTACACGGTGTGCCCAGAGGGCCAGGAATTGGGTGGAGTGACTGGCTCCTTGGTCACTTGCAAATAGCACGAGAATGGAGGGGGCTGGGGCATGCTCTAAAAAACACCCAGGAGGAATTTAGGTTTGCACAGAAGAGGCTGTTTCTTTGGGGTATGTGAGGAAGGTTGGGTAGAGGATCTAGGGATGGAGCAGACGGCTGTGGATGGGATGACGAGAGCGGAGAGGCAGATCCACATTCTTTCCAGGTTCCCCAGCAGCTGCAGCTCGCCCTGAACCTGGCACATGGCAGCCTCTAGGCTTCACTTTTGGGGATTGCTTCTGCTTTGAAATAGCCACATGGAAGAAAAACTACAAAGTTTTGAGGGGAAAAAAAAACCCCCACCTAACTTTAGCTGCCATTGTGTCTTCATCTGTAAAAATCTTCTTGTCTCGTGGATTTCAACGTGCAGTTTGCCTTGGTTTGTTCCATGAAACATCAGATGCAACTTTAATGGCCTAACCCCAAAAAGATAACTTGACAGCCATCAAACATTCAGCAGCGTTCCAAATACCCTCTTGCTGGAGCCTGCCTTCTACGGGGCCATGTGGATGTCAGGCACACACAATTTGAGTCACGCTGACATAGCTGGGATGCCTGGATTGCGCTGCAATCTCGGGGGGTACCAATCACAGGCCAGAGAGAAGCCATTGGCTGGAAGGAACAATGCCAGAGTGTTCACCGTCTCTGCAGAGGAGCGGGTGTTGGTGATGAGGGGAAAGACAGTTGCAGCCAGAGGAGGAAAATGACCCCAAAGCAGAGTGGGCATATGTCAGTGATGCTGGGCAGAAGCATTCCAGAGGCTCAGGTCATGACCACACCCCTCTCCTCCTGCTCCACAACCAAAGAAATTAAGAAGGCACAAGATTTTCCCTAAAATGTCATGTACAGAATGCCCGGCTGTCTTCAGGGGTTTGGGAAGTCCAGGGTTGACGACAGCCCAAATTTATGAAGCACTTACCTGTACCAGACACTGTCTGTATCTTACAAATAATGCATTTGATTCTCATAACTCCTTCATGAAGTAAGTCTTACAATTTCCATTTTATAACGAAGGAAACTGAGGCTAAGAAAGATTAAGAAACTTGCCCTAATCCTGCAACCAGAAATGGGCAGAATCAAGACTTGAGCCAGTCTCTCAAAACCGAAACCCCGGACACTCACTCAACAGCCCTGTGGCTGGTTTATGCCATCTGTGCCACCCCCCACAGCCACCTCTTAGACGGCCAAGCCCTGTGTGTTGAACAAGTAGAGAAAACTTCTGAAAGGATTGTTTTTCCTCCGCTGTTTTCCTGGGAGTTGAGCAGACATGTTTAAACACGCCGTTCTTGTTTACTTTGGTGGTTGTGATGTGCAAGACCCCAGACCAGGAACAGTAAGAGGGCCTAAGGATAACCCAGCATGGGGACTGCTCTGGAGGAGGCTGCAGACTGGAGAAACTATTGTAGCCAGCTGCGTTTTGGAGGCTGGGTTGCATGTCAGATCTCTAATGAGTTTGGTCATTATTTTTTCAGCCAGGGTTTTCTTCCTCCCGACCCCCTCTTCCTTCCTTCCTTCCTTCCTTCCTTCCTTCCTTCCTTCCTTCCTTCCTTTCATCCTGTGATTTTCTCCCTTTTTCTGTCTCTTTTTCTTTCTTTCTTTCTCTCTCTCTCTCTCTCTCTCTTTTAAAGGTGTAAGCCTTTTTCTGGTTTACTACATGCCAAGGACTGTGCCAAATCATTCACATAAAACCACGAGCATGCATCACCTTATTTGGTCCTCCCACAGTCTAATGGGTAGGTCCTGTCATTATCCTCATTTTAAGAAGAAACTGAGCTCAGAGAGATTAATTGGTGTCTTCACCGTCTGCCTAATTCAGTACCCTGCACCCTTAACCACTATTAACTAACAACATCCCAGTAGTTCCCTAATGTTGTAAAGGGCGCTGTTTTAAATGTGTCCGTTATATCCACTGACTCAGTCCTCGAAACAAGCACAATAGAGATGACTATTATCCTTGTTTAATAGATTGGGAAATGGAAGCACAGAAAGGTCATGTAATTTTCCCAGGTCACCCAGCTAGTAAGTGACAGAGCTGGGCTTCTGTTTTACCGAGGAAGACACTCCTCAGTTTTTGTTCTGTTTTGTTTTTCACTTGAAATCCCCTGTGATGGCCCAGACTGGAATGCCAGGGTCCTGAGGATAAAATCTCAGAGCTGGACTGGGAAGGGGCGCCAGTGGCAGCTGCGTCCCCCCGGCAGCTCTGGAGGGTGGAGGCGGTGGAGAGAGCGACTGCACAGCAGCCGCAAGTCTGGGCCCCCGCCAGGGAAGACCTCAAAGCCCACTGGAGGGCTGGCTCCCCTGCGCTGGGCTGTGCAGAAAGGCGAGTCGCGGCTTCCAGAAGACCAGCCAAACGTGGTCCTCGGGAGAGGAGAAAGCCTGAGGGAAGGGCGGGCAGGACGTCAGCCGTCAGCTCTGAGAAGGGCTTCTCTGTAGGAGAGGGGATGTAGGCAGCAGCTCTCCCAAGAGCCAGGCAAGCAAAAGCAGGTTTCTGTTTGAGCAGCAGCCAGGGGGTGTCAGGGAGAGAGAGAAAGCCATTCCCAACAGTCCGTGATGTTCAACCCTGGAAGAGGGCACCATGGAGGTGGGCTGCCCTTAAGCCGGTGTCTTGATTATCTCTGCCCCTAACCTTTGGGAATCCTGTCCATCTTTGAGCCCCTGGCGCCAGTGACTCCACTCTGTGAATCCCTTCCAGACCAGCCATCCCCATACACCCATAAAACTCCAAGTTCTTCTGGGGGAACAGAAAGCCCAAGGGCCCTGAGGTCCAGGCTGGCCCACATTCATCCCTGGGTGGGCTGTAGGTCAAACCAGCCATGTGGGTGATGGACACCTCAGACACTCTGGAAGCTAGCCCAGTTGGTCCTGGTGCCCCCAGTAACACCCACACCCTATTCCCCCACAGCAAATAGACCCTCCCTACTATTCATTTGGCCGTGGGTATTAGGCATCACGTGACCTCACTGGTATAGCATCTCCTGGTGTTAGTGGCTTCTTGCCTGAGTACATTTCTCATACACTCAGACAACACTTGGTGAACACTTACCATGTGCCACCCACTGCTGTAACTGCTTTATGGGGTTCTCTCATTTAATTCTCCCAAGAACCCCGTAAGTTGGTGATATTTTTATCACCATATTACAGGGAAGGAAATGACCCAAATGCTCAGTGGCTATGGGATGAGCTGGGAGTCAGACACAATATTGGAACCCTGGCCACCAAAGTCTGTGACTTGTCCCTGGTTTGTGTCTCAACAAAAAGAAGTCAGAGCCTTTCTTACTTCCTTATATCTCCTATAGCTCCTGGTGAGTGTCTGTTTACAATAGTTCTTCAAAAAAGTGTGGGCTTTTACTCACTGTTCAAAGATATTTCTAGTTTGGTTTTTTAAAGATCCATGAGACAGGTGCTCTTAACAGGACAAAACAGTGTTGAATCCTTGGTAGACAAAATCAGATACTTTTTGGAAGAAATAAGAGAGAGATTTGCAGGCCATGTCTTAGAAAACTTTGTTCCAAGTCTTTTTTTTTTTTTTTTTTTTTTTTTTGAGACGGAGTTTCGCTCTTGTTACCCAGGCTGGAGTGCAATGGTGCGATCTCGGCTCACTGCAACCTCCGCCTCCTGGGTTCAGGCAATTCTCCTGCCTCAGCCTCCTGAGTAGCTGGGATTACAGGCACGCGCCACCATGCCCAGCTAATTTTTTGTATTTTTAGTAGAGACGGGGTTTCACCATGTTGACCAGGATGGTCTCGATCTCTCGACCTCGTGATCCACCTGCCTCGGCCTCCCAAAGTGCTGGGATTACAGGCTTGAGCCACCGCGCCCGGCCAGTTCCAAGTCTTTTTTGTTTGTTTGTTTGTTTGAGACAAGAGTCTCGCTCTGTCGCCCAGGCTGGAGGCAGTGGTGTGATCTTGGCTCACTGCAACCTCAGCCTCCAGGGCTCAAGCAATTCTCCTGCCTCAGCCTCCTGAGTAGCTGGGATTACAGGCGCGCACCACCATGCCCAGCTAATTTTTGTATTTTTGTAGAGACGGGTTTTGCCATATTGGCCAGGCTGGTCTGGAACTCCTGAACTCAAGTGATCCGCCCACCTCGGCCTCCCAAAGTGCTGAGATTACAGGCATGAGCCACCGCTCCCGGCCGTGTTCCCAGTCCCAGCCGTGTTCTAAGTCCTTAAGGTAACAAAGAGAAATGTGAGAAGCCCATTTGGGAATGAAGGACGCAGGAAAGCGCTGACCAATCGAGGCAGCTGATCAGAATCTTTTATTAATGGCTCTCTTTCTTTTGTCCTCCGCTTCCAGGAGATTCTACAATGAAACTGGCAGACTCCTCCTCGTCTCTACCTGTGCTGTCTCCCTCTCTAGTCCCAGACACTGAGAGCGGGTGCCCCGCGGCCCCGTCAGGCCAGATCACCAAGAAGCTCACCAAGAAGACTGCGTGCCTCGCCCTAGCCTTCCTAAGACGGGAAAGTAGACTCTTGTTTTTGAGGGAAATTGCCTTTGAGAGAAACATAAAGGAATTTATTTTCTCTTAAGTGAACATTCCACTTGTAAAAATGAAATCTGGAAGAACTTCTGCAAACTCTTGAGTGTTTTGGTCAATTGACCTTTTACTGTACCAAGCAAATCTGAAGCCACCAATAAACTGGGAAGAAAGGTATTCCCTTCACAAAAGACTTGTCACTTAGCCAGACACTCTGGTGCAGTGCTTCTTTAAAATAGAGAACATTTCTGGTGTATTTATTTATTTATTTATTTAGAGTCGGGGTCTTGCTCTGTTGCCCAGGCTAGAAGGCAATGATATGATCACAGCTTATTATAGCCTTGAACTCCTGGGCTCAAGTGATCTGCCTACCTCAGCTTCATGATTCATTGGGATTACAAGTGTGAGCCACCATGCCCGGCTCTTTTCCTGGTATATTTTAAATGGTTTCATTTGCTTAAAAGTGAGATTTATCTGTTGTATTCAGAAAATCTGGCAAGATGGACCTGATTGCTTGAGATCTCTAAAAATCATGTTACATTAACATTGAAAGAGGCATTTGAGTCTCAGGTTCTTACTTTACAGATGAGGAAACTGTGGCCCGGAGAGGTTAATTGACTGTTTAGATCACACAGCGTTGTGTGTAGCAGGCTGCCCAGTTTCCCATTACTGTGCGTCTTCCTTGCATCCGAGGTATGCAGGGAAGCTCACCTCCCAGTCAGGCCTCTCTACCTGGTCCTCAGCTGCCATCACAGATGTTTAATCACCGATCCCTTTTGTGGATTTCATTGTTATTTTTTCTTTTACTATGGAAATATTTCAGACATAAAAGTAGATAATATAATATAAATAACTACCATGCCCCCTCACCCAGCTTCTATAATTATTAGCACACGGCCAGTCTTTTTTTCTCTATACCTGACCCCACTTCCCCCTCCCACCCAGATGACTTTAAGGCAAATCCAAACATCATGTCATTTCATCTCTGAATGCTCCATGTGTAACAGTGGGGGAACCCTCTCCTACCTACATATAAGTCCCAGTACAATTGTCACAACTAAAAAGAGTGAACGATAATTCCTTAATATCATCACATTTCCCTGATTGTCTTTCTTACTATCTCTCTCTCTCTCTCTCTCTCTCTCTCTCTCTCTTTGCAGTTGGTTTGTTAGAATAAAGATTATCAGGTAGAATTATGAGCTGATCATTCGAAGTCCTTGCATTATAATTTTGCCGAATGAGGGAAAATAAATTGCATAATATGGAGATTTTATAATAACCACAGATCACATTTATGAACGCCTTTATACTTCCTAAGTCTCTTTAATCATAACTTTCTTTGTTTCTTGAGACCGAGTCTCACTGTCACCCAGGCTGGAGTATGGTGGCGCACTCTTGGCTCACTGCAACCTCTGTCTCCCGGGTTCAAGCAATTTTCCTGCCTTGGCTTCCCCAGTAGCTGGGATTACAGGCACCCACCACCACGGCCGGCTATTTTTGTTGTTGTTGTTGTTTTATTTTTCATAAAGACAGGGTTTCACTACGTTGGCCAGGCTGGTTTCGGACTCCTGACCTCAAGTGATCTGCCTGCCTCGGCCTCCCAAAGTGCTGAGATTACAGGCATGAGCCACCACACCTGGCCAACCATAACTTTCATGTCCGATAGGGAGACAGGTATCATTTGCCTCCATCGAATCTTAATTAGCGGTTGAGCTCAGATCTCCCACGCTTCCTGACTTGGCTCTTTTTACTGCAACAAAATCTCATTATAACTCCCATCTCATTAAAATTATAGCTTCAATTTTGCACAGCTTATTAGTATCAACCTTATTCTAAATACTTCCTATGTATAAGCTTATAGAACCTTTATGACAACCCTGTGGAGGAGATGCTTGGATTCTCATTGCACGGCTGGGGAATCTCAGGCACAGAGGAGTAGAAACGTTTTTCAAGGTCACCCAGCACGAGCATTTAAGCCCAGCTTTTTCTGATTCTAGAACTCCTGCTTGCAATCGCTGTTACACGTGAGCATCACGTTCCAAGGTGACTGTAATTCACAGCATCGAACATTTACTTTTATCAACTTTATCCTTATTCCCTTTTAGAATTTGGTTTGAAATGTGAAACCAAACCACATTTTTTAAAATGCCACTATTTTATAAATGTGGATGTGATTTTCCTTTATTCAAATTTATGAAAATCAACATGACCCTCGACTGCAAACTGCAGAGCTGAAAATGAATCCGAGACCCTGAACTGTCCATCCCGGCCTCACTCAGCTGGTGGCTTAGTGCCGCTCGGTCCCTGCCTTGGCCTGACCCTGCTTGCTCTGTCTTGTGCTTTCAGGAGCAGTCAAAGCCCTTTTTAGAAAATATTTCCTGGTCTACTGTGGCGTTGGATGGACAGAGTTTTCCACCGGGCCTTTTTTTTTTTTTTTTTTCCAGCCACACTGGCCCTTAAGAAGATGTTACTCAAGGCTCCACACCTACTTCAAACATTTTTAGGGGCCCTGGCTGGGGCCTTGCACAGAACTGCCAGGAACCCTACAGAGAGGAGGAGCCCAGCTCTGGGGGCCTCGCCCTGCTCCCAGTGTTTACCGAGCTGCTGCAGAGGCCCTGCTGCCAGTGTGCCGATTCTCTTTCTCACACTTCCCCAAACAGCATGGTCTTGTTAGGCAGCTGTTTCTTGCAAGGCCTTCTTTCAGCTGCGGTAGCTTTTCCCATGTTTGTAGCCCTGGTGTTTCACCCCTTCCTTTTTTTTTTGAAGGGCTTTTCCCCTAAGTCTTTCTGTCGCTGAACAGCTGTGCTCTGATATTAGATAGAATGTTTTCTGTCCTCACCACAAGCTTATGAACAAAAGGGTTTTAAGAACTCTGATAAATGAACAAGGTCTCTGGGAAGATGAAATGTTACCAACATTTCAAACAATCAAAATCCTTGTGCATCTCGAAGGCTTTGCCCTTTCAAAGCAGTGCCGGGTGGGTATTTTTGTCTTGGAGTCTTGGAGACTGTAATTTTTTTTTCAGTCTCCCTATCGACCTGACATGGGAAAGTTGGTCAGAAGATGGGCCTTTACTGCCATCAAAGCCCCGAGCTTGCTTTCCTATTGGCTGTTCATCCTGCTTTCAGGCCCCTCTGGAGAGTTTCAGGGGGTTCTCTCAGCAAAGAGAGGCCAAGGCTGGGCACTTTGGCTTCTGTGATCTTCCAGTTTCTGTTGAGGTTCTGTTCTCACCTGAAACAAACTTGTGGGCACCCTTGATTAGGCGCTGCCTGTGTGCAGGTGCGAGCACCTACCATTCTCCTATCCATCTGCAGAGCAGCCTGTGGCATCTGCATCGGGACCTCCAACTTTCACAAGTGGAAACTGAGAGTCAGAGAAACTGAGCAGCATGACCAAGGCTGCTCAGCAAGGTTGTCTGCAATGTGGGTCCAGCTCTCCAGCAAGTGGTGGAGCCAATATTCACACCCAGACGTGTTGGACTCTGAGGCTTCTGCTGTCTTCAGTCAAGAGTCCCTGAGTGGCCAAGGATGGCCAGAGAGGGGGACTCCTAGACTATTCTGTCTTCTTCCTTCCACGTAGGACCTCCTTCTAAAGCAAAGGGTTCTCCTTTATTTGAAGTCTTCACCTTCCCATCTTTGCCCCCCGTTGTACCCCCTGGCATGTGCACGGTCTTCCTTGACTTATTTTAATGTTGTCAAAACCTCAGGCTACCTTCTCTGCTTCACTAGCAGCCCAGTCCGGGGTCCGAGCCCAGACGTTTGCTCTCCAGCTCAAGCCTCTTCCTGGTACTGCCTCACACGGGAACAGAAAGGTCAAGGCTTAAAGTAAAATGACAGATGGAAAGAAAAGCCTTCCCCAGCCTGTGGAGCTCCGTGAAATCCTTCATTATGGGATTTCCCTTGTCAGGGCTACAAGGAGAAGCCTGAAGGCTCACGACAAAAATCAACAACACATAAAGGCACTGTACAGGCAGGCATTGCTCATCGCGGTGAAAACATCTGACAGGCAGTCCCAAGGGTGATGCCGCGGGGTGATGGGGAAGGAGGAGGCGGAGAAGAGAGGGAGGAGAAGAGGAAAATGACCAGCGTCGGGATTTCATTTGCTCCCTGTCGGCACCATGCCTTCTCTGTTCCACAGAGATCTTCCCTTCTGAAGAAGAGATCTTTTACAAATGCGAAAGAAAGACTGGCTAGCTCCAAGGAAGAAGATATAGAAAACATCTGAATCTAGAGACCTAGGCACGTCCTTCTCTGGAGATCTGGAAGGCCGGGGTTCAGACTCATCATCCGGGGAGTTTAGGGAAGGGCCCGCAAGGAGGTGGAGGCAGGGACTCAATGATGTTGGCCCTGTGGATTCAGGAGAGAGGAGCAGTCACAGGTAGCCTTGGGGGCATTCTCCTCTCAAGCCAGAGTAAGGCCAAGGCAATAAGTCCACACAAGGGACCACCAAGAGGCAGGCACATACGGCGCAGACTCCAGACACACCTGTCCCTGCCGGCACGTCAGGCTGCACACCTTCTTCTCATCTCCCCTCACCTTTCCCAGTCTTTTCTAATTTCCTTTACCCTTTGAAGCTTCCTATCACCTCTACGGGAAAATGCAGACAAAGCATCTTTTCATGGGGTTTTCATGTCCATAAAGAAAAACACTTGCAGGACACGGAGTTGATCACAAAGCACATGAGTCCAGCAGGCTTGGGAGGGGCTTCATGCTTTGGAAGAGAAACGTGGACAGATTCTGTGCCCAGAAGGGAGCTGCATCCCCTCGGCTGCCCCATGCATTCCCTAAGTGGGGCACCTCCAGGTCCTTCGATGTTAGGGGAATCTATGAAAAGTGTGAAGATGTTTCTGCGGTGGCTTTTGGGGGTATGCTCTGGCACCTCCGGGGGGTACAGAATGTGGGATGCTGGTGACAGTGTAGCACGGTGAAGGCCTCCGGGGTTCCACACCCGGTAAACAACCAGGAGTCCTCTCTAATCTCCATTTCTTCTGTGGTCAAAAAGGGTTTCATCTTAATTATCCTGCTTGCCTCGTACGGAAAACAGGATCTAGGGAGAGAAAGTTTGGAAAGTTCTTAGAAAGGTTAAAAGAGACATGTTAGGTGTGGTTGTTGTTATCCTGGACTTCAGGGAGTGGAGGAATAGGAACCTACATGCCGCTACCCCAGCACCAGCAGCCAGAATTTGCCAAGCCTCTGCAGCGGCAGCGGCCATCCCCCACCAGAAGTAAAGGGAGGAGAGGGGCTCTAGCAGCCA